ACATGATCTCACACGGGTGCTCTCGCTTTTGACAGCCCTCCTACAGCTTCCAACCACTTACCCATTGCTCTGAGCAGGACACCAGTGAGACTGCTACTCTAAGCTTCCAAAGGGGAACTTAACAACCAGCTTCAGTCTCCCGGCCTCCTGCAATCCCGGCTGGAAAAGTCCACGGGTCCCTCTGATTCCCACTCTAGGAGAGGGCAAGAATGTAAGGAAAAAAGCTAAAAGGAAGTCTGTTTCCCGATGAAAGAGACTTGAGTTCTGCATTTCAATCTCACAGCAACGTGGGCTGGGCTGAGCTGGGCCGGGCGTCTCAGTCTATCAGTCACCAGAGGCACGCCCCCCGAAAGGCTGACCCAGGGAAAAATGGCCTCCCGATTGGTGTTCGGTGATGACAGACAGCATCATCCTGGATGGCTCTTCCGCTTTCTTTTGCAGGCATGCTCAGCACCTGGATTACTAATACAATAGAGACGAATACTAAATGCCTACGTAGTGGTAAGTTGCACAGGGCGTGAAATGAATATAGGAAATATGCGGGATAGTTTAATGATAGCTCTGTAATAAGGCATTGTTTTGTAGAAAAGTCAACTGGTCCTGTCTCTGTGCGTGTATGAGATCTGTTAGTTCCAGTTTACATGCTTCCAGGGTTGGTAATGTCTTTAATATGCGACTGTCAACGGTGCCAATATATTTTGATCATATCTTTTTTGGAGAAAACAATCTGTTCAAAGTTTGTAGATATGCCTGCCTTTTATTTCATTCGCGTTTTCTCTGGCCGTGGCTATCTACACACTAAATGGCCATCCAAAAAAAAAAGTATGTTGATGTATATGAATACCCAATAACTCGAGTCAGAGTTTCACAGAGGACTATAGCGACGTCTGGAATAATGCAGAGCTCTTTAACATTTATTCTGCAGATAATGGAGATGTGTGGGTCTTTACATGATCCTGCTGTCATTTTAAAATAAAAGCGTTTTAACAAATGAATATAGCATTTAGCATGCGACCTATACTGTTGTGATTGCTAAGGTAAGTTATTTTTGTTATGAACTAAAGGTATGTACAAAAGCCAACTTAATCTGTGAGCTGTGTGGATGAAAAGTACATGCAACTGACTGTGTTTAGGTGGGGGCATCATTGTGTGTGAACTGCATAAACTCATGCAGCACGATCAAATGAAGACAATTTATATTTTCATTCTGTTACACTATGTTCAATTGTAGGATGTGAATGCCCGATTTTGACTTTCACAAAAACACTAATACTAGTATCAATAGCTAGAAGAAAACCACCAGAGAAAGTGGATGGTCGTTTGAGTTCTTACGTTTGTAGATATGCCAGAGTGCTTACGTTTCATGCTTACATGTTTTTCTATGTGTGCCAACGTGTTTTGTTTGGCATCGTTGCCTGTATGAATCACTAGATATGTTTGTAAACATACCTACAAACACTCCGCACATATGTATGCATTGATTAAGCACTCTCCAATTTCAACCAAGATTTTCTAATAGTTTCCAAATTTGTGTTTAAAATAGTATCTACCAGGAATAGGCTATGCAAATGCTACATAATCCAGAAAAAAAACAGATCAATTAATTAAAATGAAATATAAACTCGGAAAATAAAAAAGCTGATCTACCCAAAAAGGGAGTGTGTTGAAACTGTTTCCAAATATCACTTTCAAATGAAAAACTAAACGACCAGAATTCTTTAAGGAGGAAGGTTTGTTAGAAGACTGAATCGATTTTCCATGGATATTTGGTCTTTCCTTTAAAGTATTATTTTAAGCCCAGGAATGAGCAGAATACTACCGGAAACAAGACAGAAATCAACTGTATGTTGAAACTATTTCTTGCTGGAGGGAAGGCGATCAGGGTCCTTTTGTGGACTTTTTGAAAAGATTCGAATATTAATACATTTGAGTTCTGCAGTTCATCTATAATACCTATTTTGCATTGTATTGCTGTGTCAGCAGCTTGATTTGCATGTTCAAAATATCGTAGTTGTAAATTGTGGCATTTCCTCAATCTGTAAGAGTTCACCAATATCTCCCACATTTTTCCATCGCTCTGGTTACTACTGCGTGATGTTAAATTGATCTTTCTAGAGGCTTTGGTGTGAATCAGAAAATCCTTTTGCCATTGTATGTTGATGTGTTGTGTTTATGTTCCTAAGAGATGTGTGGTACACTTAGTGTCAATCAAAACTAAGTATGTAGTTTAACAATACACTAGAGTGCGTGTAGAAAACGTCCGATCTCAATTAATTACACAATCCCTTCCCAAATGTAATACATAGGAAATCCATTACAAGACTGGCCTTTAATTTTCTTCAAATACAATTTTCATTGTAACCAACGGAATATATTTTAAATATACTGTAAGTAATGGCCGAACTAGGGCCTTACTCAATGTACGTCTAAATGTACCAAAATTTTCTCGCATCTATGATCTTTTTTCTATACAGTATTATTACCCATTGATTCTTGGGGTCTTTTCTTAATCTAATAGTAAAGACAATGAAGAGTGTCAGACTAAGTTTGCCAGGCACAGAATTACTATTTCTTTACCTAGCAGTTAGTTTTGCGATTGGGGGCCCGATCCTGCCTTCATTTGGGCCCCCAAAACTCCCATTGTTTTTATTAGCGTGCTTAGGATCTGCGTCCGTACATTGTTCTCCCTCTGCCTGTGTCTATCAATCTGTGCCAGTGTGTGGATTATTTTATTCGCATTGTGCCTTTTTCTCTCAGTATCTTCCAACCTGTCCACCCCCTAACTCCACACACACATACACACACACACACACCCCGCCTCCCCTCTGACCCCGCCTCTGATCCCTTGGATATTCGGTTTCTTTTCCTTTCTCAATGTGTGTTCCTGATGTGGTCCTGTCGGAAAAGCTCGTTTACTCTGCCGGGGTCTCCAGTGGTTTAAGGATAATGTTTATCAGAAGTGAACGTGCTCAACTTGTTTCCATTTCACTGCTGAGTGTGGGCTGAAATAACAAAGGTCACCGCCGCAGTGAGCCGGGAGAGGGCAGGGGGAGCCGAGAGGAACAGGGAAACACGATAATATACAACAGCCTGTTGATCGCTCCCGCCCTGCCTGGCAAAAAGATTAATTTCAGGTACGGAATAATTAAATAATTAAAGGACGGGGGCTTCCTTCCGAGCAGGCCGGGCGCTCGCTTGGGCAGTTTCCCGGCAGAGCGAGCTGAATTTGGGCGATGGGGCTAAGAAGAGGAGCGTGTTCCCCTGAAGAGATCCACACGGGAAAGAAAACAGGACAAGTGGCTCTTGCTAGTATCAGATCCGTCTTGGGGGAGGCGGAGAGGGAGAGCGCAGGCGGCTTCCAAGCGGGATAAGTGTGAACTGGGGAGGAGGCTGTTAGGGCCAAAAACTCTGATCAAGCCAATTGTTCCCAGTGGGCCGTACAGTCCGAGAGTCCCAGCTCAGCTGGTGGGCAAACCCGCGTCTGTTCGACACCCCCTCTGCATCGATTTCAGAGCGGAGCTGAGCCCGGGGATTTGATTGGGGACAGGGACAGGGATTGCGGTGGTGGGGGAGAAAAGCAGCTGCCAAACGCACCAATAACAACGGAACCTCCCAGTGGAGAAATGGGCCGGGGTGGCTGGCCAAAGGCCTGCAGGTTAATGCAATAATAAACGCGTTTCTTTTTAACTGCGCCGGGCCTGATCTAGCCCCCGTTTCCAGTCCAGGGGAGTCTGGCTGTAGGTCAGGCCCGAGGTGCAGAAGACTGTGGAGTGACCACTGACTTTCCTTGCGTCCCGCCCGCAGGTTTTTGACAGGATCCCTGTGCTTAAATGGCTGGTTTTCCCCGGAAGGCCAGCGTCTGTGCATCTAGATCCACCAGATACAAAGGCTTCCGTGGTCTGCTCTGGGAGCACTTGCGCTACCATGAAGCCCTGCTGGCTCGGGTCTGGTCCAGCTGCGTGAGGCTCTACTGAGTGACTCTGGGGTCCTCCCCACTATCTCGTGTAATGTGTTTCCGATAGGAAATCGATTGTACGGAGATGGTCCAGGGTAGCCAGACACTATCTCGTGTAATGTGTTTCCGATAGGTACGGAGATGGTCCAGTTCGTGATGGATTAACCCCACAGGGTAGCCAGGGATCTGATTTTGCCCACTTTACCAACATGATTCTTTTCTCTTTAAGGCTGATCCCTCTCCGTTCAAAAAAGAAACCAAACCCCAAACCCTTAACTTCTGCTTTCCGACCTCGCACAAAAGAGTCATTGGGCCTTTAGCGGGGACAGCAGGGAATGCAGGATCTGTCCCCCTGATTGGATTCATCTTTCTGTAAGAGAGACGGACAATGCAGGCCAGAGCCTTTGGGAAAGCCCCTCACCGGGGTCTCTGGTACAGAGAAACAATCCCTGCACTCACCTATATTGAGTGGATCCAATCAATGATGTCAATGGCAACTCTCCCAGAGTGAATGCACTTCCCCTCTATTTTCACTCGAGATTCTTCCCCCATCTGAATTGCACGAAGAATTCCCTGTGGCTACCACCGGCCAAATGACCCCAATCCCTAATGTTAAGTGGCCAGGGCTTGCCGGGCTTTGAATGGCAAACAGGACGCAGGTGACAGACACATCCACACACACGCTCAGTATATCATATTTTGTCGAGATCTCAACCTGAATCTTCGTGCGTTGCTTTATAAAGGCGATTGTTCTCCACCAGGACATTTCAAGTGCAGAGTAAATTCGATTTAAATCCTAACTTTGTTACCCATAATCCAAATGAAGTAAAAGAAAGCAACTAGCCCCTTCCCCCAGCAACCCATTTCAAGTGGCTTTTAATGGTTAATTATATATTGGTCGACTTTTGAAGGAAACGTAACCCTCCATAACCATAGCGGTGGCTTCGAAATAAAGGTAGTTGGATGCTAAGTACTCTTTTGTCCATAAAATGCTTAAACCGGGCCCTTCAGGAAGGACAAAGCCCCCAGTATGAACGTGTTAACGGCTGGGTGTCATGGGGCCGCAGAGAAAGTGTGGCATATAGTGTCATTCCGCTAATACCGAGACTCCTGGAGCGCAGATAGACACACACAGATATTATATTCATGCCCGGGAGTGAGGTTATTCCAGTGCAATGCCACTCAGGTCGATTGATTTACACAATCAAAAGAGCACACTTCCCCCAGCCACTGCTCGCTGAACCTAACAAGGGTGCGTGTGTATTTGGGATCGCCTGACCGACAGCCCTGCCTTTTGGAAACCAGGAAACCGACATTTTTTCTAGAGCT